GAGTAAGCGCACATGGGTTGGTGATGGGGGCGGGGGGAGGGGGGGTCGAACAGTGACACTCGCGAAACATGCAGCATGACGGTGATTACGAATCCCGAGGGATTGTCCCCCGACGATTTCTCATGATAAAACTCTAATGATAACACTCCGAGCTTTCTTCCGCATCCTCGCTGATAAACGCACTTTGCGGAGGAAAAATTAAAGAATATTTGGACTTCATTTTGCTATTAGGAGCTTCAGTTTCTGGCTCTGTAAAAACACTTATGTGCAAAAGGAGACTAATGGTGCATATGTTGTTTCTGAGCTGACAATGGGCCAAAAATTGAGTTAAAAATTGCAAAATGCAGTCCAGTTCGTGAACCTGAAGTTCATTTCAACAAACCAAAGTCTCAGCGCGCCACGCCTCGCCACGCCGATTCTAACAACTTCGATCGATACGAGTCATTTCTCACGTAATCCAAAGTTTTATGGTTCGTAGAACTGAATATTTCGTTCGCCGAACTGGATTTCAGTTCTGGTGAGTGAAGTGGTCGGTTGGCTCGACTGATGGTTCAAACCTCCGAACCGGAAAGCGTCTATTAAACTATCGAGTGTGCGTAACCGAGCTTTATTTCTATTTCCGCTCGGGGGGCTTTTCTTTAGCCTGTTAGATTAAACCGAGCCAGAAATTCGAGTTCCTTATTGCAAAATGTAGATAATTTGGATTTCCATTTCCAATCAGGAACTATCATTTCTGGCTCATCCGTTAAAAACATTTATGGACATAGGGGAAACCAATGATACGTGCGTTGTTTCTAAAACGAGCCAGAAATTGTAGTTCTGAATCGCAAAATGTAATCCATTTGGCCGCGAATTTAACCGGAATCTGCGTAAGCGCTTTATCAAGCGTTGCTTGGTTTTCTCTCGTCTTTTATTTTTTTAACAGATAGCTTAAGCGCCTATCTAACGTCCAGAATATTTTTGTTAGTTTACTGTACATTTAAAAAGAATAGACTCGCAAAATTTCAAGTCTCAGTGTTGTTTACTTTTCTGGTCAAAAAGTAAAATATTACATAAAATTAAACAACGTAAAGTCTGATGCAGTTACGCTAAAGTCGCCCAAATCCGTCCATTTGCAAATCCTACCCAGTGCCCGACGCCCGATGGTCCGAACTTAAGCCCAGCGACGTTTACTGACACAAACTTTAGAGGAGTTTTATTCGACACCAGGAGCTAAACGATTTTCATTTCGCCTTCAATTTTTAAGGTAGGCCAAAAAGCATCCTCCGCGCAGCAATAGTTATATCTATTCGAGGGTTTGAGCCCTTCGGTGTTTTCAAATATTGCCTTGCGATAGCGAATTATGTCCGACTCCAACCTGACGATAAATTCTCGCCGTGCTTCTTTACACATAATTGATAGAACATAAATAATGTAAACAAACAAGTCACTCCCGACTTTTTTGGAGGGAACACGCAGAGAATGCCGCTGATTTTAGTCTCTGTTATAATTTCACCTGGCATGGATTCGGCGATCTTCGGAGCGCGTGAAGTCATGCGGGTTTTTCTTTAAAATTATTCCCTTGCTCACCTGGCAATGCTGGGAAGAAAGCACCCTAAGTTCACAACGTTTCGAGTACAATGAGGACCAGTACCAGGCACGCCCAAAGTGAATGCGTTCGTTTCATTACTAATTTTAAGTTGTTTATTTCCGGTTATTGGTTTGCCCCTCTTCTTTTCTCTCTTCGACCCGCCTTGAAAAGAAAAATAAAAAACGAGTGAAGTTTTCTTTTTTAAATATGCTAGGAGGTCCGCCCCTTGGCCGCTACGCATGGAGAAAAAAGGAGGTGTTTGCATATTGATGTTTTTTTACCCTGTGACGTAGATCGGTACAACCTGGCCAGCGAAATCCGAAATTCGAAGTATGAAAAACGGATCATAATGTCTCATTTTTTAGCTTAAATCAACTCATGATATGATTTCAAATACTTTTTATAGAATTACTTTTTTCCATAACTTACACCATTTCCAAGAAAATCGATGATAAAAGTCGCTGTGCCGACCTACGTCATCAAAAAAATTCCAAGATGCCTGAAATGCAAACACCTCCTTTTTTTCTCTATGGCCGCTACGCGCCCCCAGAGGCTGCTTCGCGGCCAGTGAAATCGTCAAGATCTCCGGGACAATTAAATTGAAATTGCCAAAGTTGGACTTTGAACTCCCCTTCCTCACCTCCAGCACATGGACCGTCTTACTTCCCTTCCTTATCCCGTCCATAGTGCGTCTTAAAGATGATTTTATTAGAATAAAGAGGCTATCCAACCGTTTAACTCTTTTCTCACCTTTTTATGATACCTCAACCTGTGATGCCTAATCGCCCTGGTAAAAATTGGCAGTAGAATCTGTGTCCCAAAATACCATAGACCTACTGTAAGATTTCCAATAGCTTCTATAGCCGGCAACACAATTTCTCATAGTCTTTTATAGCTGATGGCGATTAAGCAACAGTCTGACGATAAAGTGTATGCTAAACGTTACTAATTACGGATGCTAGGACTTAGTGAGTTTTTGGACTACCGCTCTCTTTTTGGGTCGTCGTATCTTGATTTATTTTGCGAGGAAAGCTCCGTACTTTTGAAGGATGCCTGCCATTCCTAATCTGTTGGAGCGTCTTCAATTTCGTACGATACTGTGCAATATCTCTAGTGTGAAATAGTTGCTTCAAGCGCCGTGGTACGCTGCGGCGAGGCGCGGCGGGCGGGCAGCCAGCGCGAAACTCGCATTGGCGCCTACAAACCTAACAGGGATACTTCACGCATTGCGCAATGCGTGGAGTATCCCTGTTAGGTTTGTAGGCGCCAGTGCGCCGCCGCTCCGCTTTGTGTTAGGCTCTAATATTTAATCTCGCGGAGTCAGCGTTTTTCAACTCATGACTTTGAAATGTTTGCACACTCTGTATGGATTATTCTCATTTTAATTGATGAAAACAAATATGTAGTAAAGGAAAATATAATGTGCGTTTTGTAACTATTATGGTGATTCCGTACAAACTTGCGGATTTACGAAGCACACGAATTTCTACACAATTTCTTATAGCCTTTTATATCCGATGGCGAAAAAGCAACAGCCAGGCAATAAGGTGTAAAGCCCGGCGACAGGAACTATAGCCCGGCTGTTTAATTTTTTATCGCTTCGTGTACCCTGGCCGTATGATTTTTTCCACTTTCTACAGCCAGCTATATGATTTTCTATCGCCTTCTTCAGTCGGCTGAATGAACTCCTATGATATTTTGAAACGCAGCTCCTATCGCCAATTTTTACCAGGGCGACCCGGTGCGACACAAACGAGAAGTCGATGGCTATGGTGCGAAACCACTTATTTCAGTCGCCGTGTTAAAAAATCTTAGATCCTAGTTTATTTTTGCAAAGAGGAACAAGTTAACATTATAGCTTGAAAATATAGAATATTCTGCTAACAGATGAGCAGATAAATCAAGGAAATTTTTACGAAATTACGTTGACTATTTTTCCAAAGAAAAAATGAAATATGACGGGAGGTCTGTAACGTCGCAAACGGAGCTATCCATCGGAGTGCCATGCTGTTTCAATTACCCATTGCCACCATAACTTTTCCTCACGATCTATATACATACTGCAAATGACTTTTAGATTAATTTTGAGTTTCGGGGAATTTTTAGCTGGAGAGCCTCCTGCTGGCAGATTACGCGGATAAAATAAGTTTGGATCATCGGATGATAGCTGGGCGAAGTAGATAAGATAATGGAAGTTACTAACCGCTTGCGTTTGCACGAATTACTGTGCCCTGGCAGTCGAGCAGTCCTCAACCGCTCGTGAACCTGGACGAAAATAAGTGAAAACGCAAGTGTCTAGCTCAAGTCGCGGCGCTGTTTGACAACACGTTCACACACGTTCCGTGTTTATTCATATCCTACGTATGTTGAGTACCGGGCCACCAACAAATAGAGGTCTTTACCTATCTACCGGCGTATGCTAGTGCGCGTGTCCTTCGTTTTAATTGCGTCATTCGGGTATGGTTGTTTTTTCGTTGTGTTAACGGTGCATTAACACAGTTCGGAACACCATAAGTCAACGACAAGGTTTTTCTGGCTTTTGGTTGAAACTTTGATATTTTTACTCCATCACTTTTATTCTGGAGATGAAAACGACCCCGTCAAAAGCGTAAACGGTAAGGCATCATCCTTATTGCGAATTTACGCTGAAATGTGCAAATTCAGGTGCTTCCTTCACCAATCACATTAACTAACAGTAAGCCTCGGTTCCTTTGGGAAAATAACTGAAACCAACACATTATTGTGTTCAGATATATTTTACAATGTTGTCTTTCTTTTCTTTACTGAACGTACCAATCGGCTTTCCGACGTATTTATTTGACAAGAAAGAATGTGCCATCGGAAATGTGTATATCGAGTCTACAGATAAGTTCTGATTGATTGGGTGCTTAAAAATGTTTCGTCTTTGGACCAATAATTCGGACTTTGAGCGATTTGCATGCTTTTGAAAATGGGTCCATCGACCTTTTTTATATCTATCAGTTGGGCTACATTTTGCGAGTAGGTACTTCATTTCTGCCTCATTCCAGAAACAATAACCCACATGCCTTTCGTTTAATTATTCAGATATTTGCTTTTTTGTGCGAGTCAGAAATAGAGTTTCTTATTGCACAATGCAGTTCAGGTTCATAGCAAGACTCAGACATTACACTTGTCCCAGTCGCGAGGCATGAATGATCGATTATCGATATTTCCCCATTAGAGCTGTGTAAAGAATCGATTATTAGGGTGTTCGCTGCGAATACCCTAATAATCGATCCTTTTCCACAGGTTTAAATGGTAGATCAATCGATATATCGCAAAGCACGCTACGCCACTGACTTGTCCCCGTCCCTCCCATGTTGACTTAAATATCTGTCGTTTTGCACGGCCAATATTTTGGACTCTGAATATTTTTAGAAATTATAATTTTTCTTTCTTTTTTTTGCAGGTGAACTTTTGAGGAGGCCACAGGAAACCGTGACTAGGCCAATGATCCTGCTCGTCTGCAACCACGACCACAGGACGAGGCGGCCTTTGGAGTTTGGCAGCGGCCGCCGACGCGATGGCCTCGGGAGGTGAGACCGCCCTCCGAAGATCCCTTCTAAGGGCCGTCAAACACCGCCGCAATGGATCCGCCATGGGCCCGATCCGAAAGCGCCACTGTTTCATATTTCTCTGTTCACTCGGTAAGAATACCTAATAGCTATGTATCGAGGGCGAAGGAACAATGCCACCTTACTGACAATTTTGGCAAAAATGAGTTGGCGACTTCGTCACATTCCACAGTGTAAAATACGCAAACAGATGGTTTTAGTTTTTTCCAATTCTGTAATGACGCTATAAGGTATCATAAAAAGCACATCTAACCTTAAAATTACAAAAAATGGCCAAGTTTTCTCTTCGTTCTGCAAAATCGTCAGCTTGCAGATAGGTGGTATTGTTTGTTAGCCATCAATATCATTGTTGTATCATTAAGTACCAATTGGACCGCGTTTCGCAGAAAGGAACCAAGCCACATCAGGTATAAATCTGGTGCCAAATTTCACTGGGCAATTTAATTTTTCACAAGAGAACGTTTGTGCGGGCTCCTTTGAAAATTTTAAGGAATTTTCTTCGCACTGTGCAGATAATTCACTGAAATTTGCATAAAAATCCGTACACTCATTTTCATGTATACTATGAAAATGCCCAATTCAATTTGATAATATGATGTAACTTGGTTTCTCTCTGCTTAACGCGGTCCAAACTGAGCTATTTGACGTTATTTTGATTTGTAAATTCAAACATTCTGCTCACGAAAAAACAAGTCTCCTTGAGACAAATTGCGCTCTAAACGTTACTCTATCAGCCTCTGCTGTATGAAAAGATGGGTTCGGCTTAGCTGTAGTATACGAGTAAGCAGAGGCTTTATTCTCAGGTTTGTGAACTTCAGTTAGGTAATTGCTTCAAGCATGTAGTTGGCATATGTATTGTCACTTCCATTCTTACCCATTCATTGTACCCAGTTTACAACAAAATTGGAACGTTAAGTATGGATTATCCGATTTCTTATTTGCACAGCAATTATCAGTTCGGGTATCAAAAATGAAGAATGGTTCCCTGTTGGAAATGTAATATTTTAGAATGTCCTTTAAGTGGTGTATCACTTACCGCGGGCTTCTTTATCTTCCTAATTAGTGCGCGCTCTCTACAGCTTTTATCGAGCATTAATGTTTCTTGGGCTCACTTGTGATATCTAAATAAATTAACTTCAGTAAGTAGTTACGTGGGCTTATACATACCAAAAGAAAAAAAAACCAACAATGTTTTGAATTAACTCTGTCTAGTTTGAAGGAGACTGACTCAGATATTGTATCTTCACTGGCTTGTCAATAATTTGGTTTTTGGTTCATTAGGTCACCACATACTTTTTGCAAATTTATGTGAAAAAATATAATTCCCTTGCCATTTGTGACAAACCTTTTTTAGATATTGAAGATGCGTATTCATTGATGAAAATATGTCGTTTCAAAAGCGAGAAATTACCCCAAAGTAAACGAAGGGGCGTTAAAAAAGTGTATAAGGTATGGAAATGAAGCCTCATCATTTAGATCGAGCTTAAGAGAGACGCACCAAATTCCATTTTTGGAAAAACGAGTCAGCATTAATTTTGAATTATACCGGTACATCTTTTCCTGTCAAAAATGCAAAGTCGAGAAAAATGTTTTGCACGTGGAAATTCCTTAAATGTTGTCCATGAAATTGGGTTTGGCAAAGGCATGGATAACTTCAAACTTATTTTTCTCGGTTCAAGTAGGACGCGGCTTGGTGCATTCCTGTTAAACTCACAATCAGTCAATTTGACGTATTTCTACTAAACGGAATGATGTGCATTGAGACAGAAGCCCTGAGGCCCATAAGAATATATGCATAACAAGGCTCACGTCATGATGCATATTGCACATAGTTCCCTTTGACAGAAATACATCCATTTTATTACCAATGTTACATAAATGTGTCAGAATTCCCACGAAATGGAAAATCAGCTTTTCCATTATTTTGATTAACACAACAACGGAATGAATACGACAAAATAATATACGGTTCGATTGATATGCTACACCCCTCAAATCCTCAATCGAGATTCAAAATAAATTCAAGCAATGGACGGAGATAATTGAGCAAATGAGTTGTATTTGGTAAATTTAAGAGACTTAACAAAATGGCAACAAACAATCGTGGCTAAAAGTCGCATTGCATAGGTACAAAACAGGCAAGATTGATTTTGGTAACGTTTCTGAGTGTAATCTACTTTTTGTCTTGAAATAATCAAACATGGAAGTGGAACTAATAATATACATGAAACGGATACTGGACGATTTCAATCGAGAGAATGGTAATTAAGCGTGACGCAGTGATATATAAAATTCATAATCTCTTACGAGGCAGTGCAATCCTACCGTGCTGTGGAAAAACGCCGCATGAGCGATCGAGTGTTGCCAAATTTCTCCCGAGGAAGCACGTGTTTTTCGAGAAAATTTTGAATGTTTCTCCTCGAAATTTTCAGATACTCTAGATGAAAGTGCGCATCAAATCCTCTGAAAATTTGGAAGAGATGTTTTCACGAGTTTTTCAGAGAATTCGCTTTTTATCAAATGAAATTTGGCAACATCTAGATTCATACGGCGTACTTACTGAGCACGGCAGAATCAGTCTGTAATTTACAGGACTGTGATATTATGCAATTTTTTCTCCGGGTAATTACAAGCAAAAGTGGATGTTTCAATCTCTAATTGGTTTCGGGCAGTTAGATACACTTTTCAGGAAAACGAGATCGTGTTAGGAAATTCTCAATTATGTCCCACTTCGAAAAATGCCTTTGAATGTCTCTCAGTCATTCTTTTCACATGAAAGAACTTTCGTATACTGAAGCACCTGCTGGAATTATTTTAGGAACTTGCGGCGTTTTTGACTCCGCCGCCGGGAGCATATAAGTAAGTGCAAGAAAGGAACTTTATAATGGACCAGTAAACAAGGTACAAACTTAAGAATTCTAATACGTGTTTCTTAACCAGAATTTAACGTAGAACACAAAGTTGAGTTGAATTTACGCCTCGAAAAGCATCAAACATCTTGGATAGGAGTCAATTTTAGTAATTTTCGTTGCGCGAATCGTATTTTACGTAAAACTTTGGACGAGAAACATGTATCAAAATGCTTGAATTCGTACCTTGTCTTCTAGTCCATTCGCACAGAATGATAGTTCATCAATGGGGGAACGCAAGGTGACCTCCAACTTTAAAGATGACTATGAAAAAGGAATCCTCTGAGGTCCTGTCGTTGACGTTAATCAGGGGTTTCCAATGCGCCTCCGTGTTCTCACGCTGCAACATTAAAATTTCAAGTTTTAGATTTCGAATGCATTGGTGGCTTTTTTCTTCGAAATGTCCGAAGATTTCGTCAAACGAATTCTTCATGGTTCCATCTCTAAGTTGGAAAAACTGAACGCGTGATTCGTGAGGAGATCTAACATCCAACGATCATCGCAAAAAGAATCATTAGAATTCTCTAACGAAATGATGAAGATAAGTTGCAGTGAAAATGTATTTATCAAAAAAATTAAATATATTTTTCTTTTCATTTTTAGAGAGTATTGCAATTTATTTGCATATTACAACGCCAAAAAAAATTCACAAATATTTTTAGAATATCAGTATAGATCTTGTACTTAAGTAGATATGAGCAGATATCATCAAACATATTTTTCACGATTGTAGACTTTTAAGTTGAAAAAGAGTGAGCGCCGAAGTTACTTCAGATAATCTTATGTCAGTCGCAGTCGCAAATGAAACAAAATCTGCAACGATTCAGGGCCGGATTTACTTAATTGCCGCCCATGGGCCGCCTGTATTTTGCCGCCCCCTTCTGATTCGTTTTGAAACATCAATAGAGACCATCAAGTGAACTTGCCGGAGGGGGAGGGGGGGTTGCATAAAACGCGTTTACTCTTGTTGGGCACATTTTTTGTGAAAGCCGTGTCAATACTATAGCAAAATTTCACGAAACTTTGCACGAAAGTTAAGTTCCGGTAAACGTATCTTTGTGTGGACAAGGCCTTCCATGTATGAGAAATGAACGAAAAAATTATGAAAGTACAAACATAAATGTGGTTTAATAACTTTAACCTCCACCGTCGCGCCGCGCCGCGCCGCGCTGACCGCACTCTGTTTGGCACAATGCGTGAAGTATTCCGACAGTCTTTGTAGGCGCCATGCGTTTCACCTCGACCGCTGCGCTGCTGACCGCATTGTGTTTTGATGCAATGCGTGAAGTATTCATGCGGTCTTGTAGGCGCTAATATGCCGACTGCCGCGCCGAGGCGAGGGTTTCTCCTTTTCATCTCAAGTCCTCGTCATCATTGCTCCCTGCACCGCGCCGCTCCAGGACAAGTTGCGTGTTTGGTTTCTCTCTTAACTCGACTAATTAAAGATGCTGTCTCTTGTATCACCAAAATACGACAAAATTAGAAATTACTATACTCTCAGGAGATGAGAGATTTTCTCGCCTCTTCTCGTTTTCCGAATCCGATTTTTCTTATTCATATATTTCAAAAAATTGCAAAATTGCCGCCCCCTAAATCCGGCCCTGCAACGATGAAGATGTAGTGCAGTGTAGTACAAATATATTTAAGTATATGTATAAAATACATCTTCAGCATCAAAGTATTTCACCTCCTAAAATTCGTTCTTAACTAACTTCTAGGACTATAATTGTCGAGAGTTTTGAAAATTTTCTTGATGTATTCTTTTCATTGAGAAAAAAATCACTAAATAAGTTTTAAATAAAGACGTTTAATAGCTTTTCCTTTCCCATGCATAAAATGAAGTATGACAAGAGGTTTGCAACCCCTTGAAGCAAGACACACATTTCTGCAGTTTCACTATAGACTCAGTATTCATCGTTGTTCCAGAAACAACTTCTTGCCTCGAAAATATTCCATGCATATTTTCATCGTGACTGAGGGAGATTTGAGGAGGCTTTTGAAGCGGATTATGAAAGAGGGCAGTTTTTTCAATGTAAACATTAAAAAGTATAACTTAAAGAATAGATTTTTGCAATGGGTCTTTACTGATTTGCCACTGGAAAAATCACAAAATTCAGAGGAAAGAATATTGAGGATTTTGCAAAGATCGAGGTAGGTTCAGACGTACGCTAGGATTTTTTCCTTTGCAACTTGCAGAATGTGCAGCGGGAAATCATTGTAATCCCTTGACAGGATTTATAACCAAAGTTATATTATTAAATTTAATTCGCGGCTGGTAAAAATTGTCTGTTTTGTGAAGGTATGCAGAAAGCTCCCTTTAACCTCACTCAATTAAAATATAGACGTATTTATGCCAAAAGGAACTAAAGCCCATTTGTATAAACAAGCGCCATCTGGTTCACATTGTCATTGAGAGGGGAGGTTTAAAAGAGTCTTTTGTATCCCTTCATCAAAGGGACGATTTTTACGAGCCCCGAAAAAACCTTGAGAATACAACGTTGGAAGTAGATATTTTCGAGAGATTAAAAATATTTGCCACTGCTAAATATGCAAAATACGAGAGAAAAAAAAATCCATTAATTTTTATGGAATTTTACTGAAGTGCCTATCAAAATGAAAATCATTTGAGGGGCTTGGAGGACAAGGCACATTAGTTCAGTATTTGAAAACATTGAGATATTCATGATCTTTAGTAAAAATTTGAGAAAATATTCTGTGAAAAATTCACAACTTAAATCCAACTGTAAAGCATCCACAAGCTAGTTTAAACTTCCTTTCCGCCATGAGGCTCCATGTAAATTTGAAACGTATTTCTTAAAATACACTGGAAAAAAAAGTCGCTTGGATCTAGAGTCCAGACTCTTAAAAACATTGACAAGAAAAAATACTCTTGATTCAAGCAGACTTTTTGCTTGAATCAAGAGGAAATCCGCCTAAATCAAGATGCGTGGCTCCTCAATTCAAGAAAAAGTCGGATTGAATCAAGAGTATTTTTTCTTGTCAATGTTTTTAAGAGTCTGGACTCTAGATCCAAGCGTCTTTTTTTTCCAGTGTAGCAAAAACTGCACTTATGAAAGCCAAGCCTCTCATTTTTGCATCACCCCACCTCCTTCAAAACCAAAAATAGACTTACCGCACGGCACCGGCGCCCTATCAGTGGTATTCCTTGCGGGAAACATGGGCGTGGAAGCCGGTCTTGTGGTCCGCGTTATACTTGACGGTCCTGATGTGTCCGTCTGGCTCGACGAGGGAGTACTCGCCGTGGACGGTGTCTCCGTGCCGGGACTCGTGCTGGTGCTTGATGTCGCCGGTGTGCTTGTCGTGGACAGCGTAGTGGAACTCGTAGTGGGCCGGCTCGTGGTGGTAGTGGTGGTCCTCGTGGTGGCCCCCGTCGCCACCGTCGTCGCCGAAGTACTGCCCGGCCACCAGGGCGAGGGTCAGCGAACACACCAAGAGGAAGACACACGGACGGAACATCGCGGAATGGGGGATCGTGGTTGCTTTGTGCTGGTGAGGAGGTAACGGACTGCGGGGAGAGCGAGATGGTCGCCGGGTTTTATACCCGCTCCGCCGCCGGACGTCGGATGGACGTCGGGATGTCTGCCGATCGTGGAATCTCCGCGAGGATGAGTGAAAGTTCCGTTGCCAGCTTTTGAGAGGAAATTGCGGCGGTGGAGGCGAGGGGCTTGAAGGACAAGGCGCATAAGTGCAGTTTTTGAAATAAATAAGATTTCAAGTAAAACTAGTCATAATGCATGTTCTGTGAAAAATTCGTTCTCAAATTCCAGTTTCTAAGCATGAAAAAGTCAATTTGAACTTTTTGTTCGCCGCCAGGAGCCATGTAATTTCGAAACTTCAAACATGTATTTCTCGAAATAGCAAGAATTACACTTATGCGCCTTGTCCTCCAATCCCCTGAATTGTGGTGTATAGAGTACCTACACCTATACAGTGTAGAAATGTCTGTAATTTTGGAGGTTAGGTTATAGAGCTTTTAGGACCCAAAAATGGCAGCCAACATATGAACTCAAATATTCTGAAAAGGCATTCAAGGGTGGTCATTGTCTAGAATTTTCTAGAGAAAATAACCCTACGAGATTTCCCGTTGTGCCGGAAAATCCACCCCACCTGGAAAAGTAGGAGCCGGGCCACTCCCAGATTTTTCTCTACAGCCGTGCCTATGAGGGGAGAGGGGCACCGGGACTCTTGCACACCGAGGAAAAAGTTAGGTCCGGAATATATCAGTTTTTCAGCCGAAGTAATCGATGTTTTTGGGTCCAAAAACTGAACTTTGGTTCTGGCTTGGAACTGACCGAAAGTTAGTTCCAATAACCGAAAACTCCAGTTACCAGAACCGAAAAAGTTCGGTGCTACGTTCAATATCTGAAGCTGAGCTTTTCCTCTCAGTCTGAGACCCCTTTAGTGGGGTAACAAAAATACGAAGGATAAGAGTTAGACCAAAAATGGCGCAAGGAGTTGCAACAGCTGCGCATCGTTTTTCGCCCCTTTTCTGTGCTCCCGGTGGAATAAACTATAACTCAGCCATAATGTATTCCTCCGAAGTAACAGGCACTCTGTATATATGGACAAGACTGCCACGCTAAGGAAGAATGGCGCATCAGCTTTCCGAAGTTGCCAAATTTCCTTCGCAAATGACGAATTTTCGGGGAAATTTATAAATGTTTTTTTTTTTTTTTCCCCTTCAAAATATTTTAGATAATATTGCTCTTAATTTACCCTAGAAACTCTTAAAATCTTGAGGAAAAATCCATAACTTTTTACAAAAATAAATGTATTCCGGAAGGAAACTTGGCAACGATCGAATACCCATACGGCGTTTTTATCTAGCATGACATAAGACCTAATGGACCTTAAATGGACGTATTTCTGCTAAAAGGAACTATGTCATACGCAAACCTTATGCACATAGTTCCTTTTAGCATAAATACGTCCAAATCACTGATGCGATACTACTTACTACCTGATGATGGCTCATGTAGGTATTCATAAGCAAACATGGAACATCGCATCGATATAACGGGTTGAAGCCAAAGTATGAAACAACGTATCTTTATTGTGCTGTTTCAAAATCTAAGCTCCTTTTTTGTGTTCTTAAAGAGGAACAAGCCAACTATGTAGCTTAATAATTAAACAGAATATTCTGCTGATATAGAAGAAAAATGGAGGTAGTTTTCAAGTAATCACGTTTACTAGATTTACAAAGAAAAAATAAAATACAACCGGAAATCTGCAACGTCGCAAACGGAGATACGTGGTTTCACACTTCGGCCATTGAATGTGCCTAAAATTTTCCGGCTGAAATCTTTCCGGGTTAGGCTTGAGGAACACACACCTGCGCATGTATTGTTTAGTTTCGTCTCGTTAATAACAGCTTTCTCACCATGTGCAGTGCATCTAACATCGCCTATCTGGACGTATTTATGGTAAAAGGAACTATGTTACACGCAATCCCTATGCGTATAGTTCCTTTCAGCAAAAATATGTTCATCTGACGAAAGGGCTTATCTCAATTTGCACTTGAGCCCAGCTTCACCTATAAATCCATGCTTTTTGGGGCTCATGCGGCAATCGAGATACGCCTTTTAGCCAGAGGGGCAACGATAATGCAAAGCTAACAGGTAACAGACCGGCAACAGCTAAATTGAAGAGACTCGAAGTGTGATCCTCGATCAGTATCCGTTGATGATACAGATTACCAGAGCTTTCGCAGCTTCACGTGTCTGCGTTTCCTTTTATTACTCCTTGTACAAATTGTATCATCATAAATAACCACTGCTGCCAAACGGTACATCGCCTCCTTGGGGGATGACGCCTTTCTTTACTCGCGGCTTCCTCAAATCAAAATTGTGAGTTCAAGTCTAAATGGAGAATTTGCAGGTGTGTGAAATTTGATGCATTTCGTGTCTAGTGGAAACTACTAAAGGATAGCCGCTGCCGTGGTTCATAAATTATTGGAGAGGATAAGACAGAATGATTTAATCCGCTGGAATTCATGCGTTTAAATGGGAAATGCCCTCAAATGACGTCACAAGGTGGTGCGTTTATTATCATTTTTGGATCTATTTAAATACTATTTTCCATATCAGAAAAAACATGAAAAATACAACGAAGTCAGCTCTTTGAGCACTCTTAGTAAAGCAATAAAACATTTGCATGCAAATTCTGCATTGTTGATAAGGAGTTTTTCCAGCGAAATCTGCGCTCAGCAGTGCTACCGTATTGGTGCGCCTTCAATTTTACGAGGTATGCCACCCGAGCTCCTACGAGTCGAAATAGTGGTATGACCCAACTGAACCTAAGCTGGTCATGAAACGACGGATTTGTGCAGCTCTTTCTAGAGGTAGTTTGCGAATTTTGTGTTGGTAGTAATAGGTGCTAGAGAAGATATGACAGAATGATTTAATCTGCTGAAATTCATGCGTTTAAATGAGAAATGCCTTTGGATGACGTCACTATGCGGTGCATTTTCTCATTTTTAGATCTATTTTAATATTAATTACCATGTCAGAAAAAAATATGAAAAATACGTCGAAGTCAGCTCTTTGAGCACTCTCAGGTAAAGCAATAAAACATGTGCGCGGAAATTCTCCCTTGTTGATAAGAGTTTTTTTTACAGCGAGATCTTCACTTAGCGATGCCACCGCTTTGGTGCGCCTTCAATTTTACGAGGTATGCCACCCGAGCTCCTACGAGTCGAAATAGTGGTATGACCCAACCGAACCTAAGCTGGTCATGAAACGACGGATTTGCGCAGCTCTTGCTGAAGGTAGTTTGTGAATTTTGTGTTGCGGGAGCAATAGGTGCTTTTCTTCTCCTTTTTGTTTTCATGGGCCTGTTTGATACTTTTAAATTAGCCATCAAATCATAAAAAGTAACACGCTTGACCTATTAATTAAACCGGGCACATCGTGGCGAACGACCCTCTTCTTTTTCTCACAGTATCTTCAAATCAAACATGTGATTTTAAGTCAGAATTATTGTCGATAAGGTTTTTTTTCCAGCGATGTCTTTGCTCAATAATGCCACCGCTTCGGTGCGCATACAATAAATTATACGAGGTATGAAAAAACGAAAGAATGATAGCTCGGTGTTGATAAGCGCAGCAATTGTTAGACAATTGGCTGAATTATTTATAGATACAAAATAAATGTTTAAAACTCAGTGTTCGGACTTTCAAGGCTCATAGTTACACGAGTGAAGCCTAGTGCTCACGAAGCTGAAAAAATTGAAATTGAGGAAAATTGAATTTAATTGTGAAAAATTACACCGAGTGTTATACGTCATGAAAAGTCAAAACTAATTTTGGCGTGTTGATATCGGGATATCGATTTTTTGAAGTCAAACATTTTGCGAAGTTTACTTTGAGATAGGTTTTGTTGAGTATCATCAATCTCTTAATTTTTCAATGTGTAGTATCTTTTCCATCAATCCTCCATTACATGTCAAAAATGAACTTTAGAAAACAACTTCCATGAGACGTAATATTAGCTACGGCTTAAAGCTTAATTCCGACAACCGAATTTGATGTTGATTTCAAAATTATGAGCGTTTAGAGGCTCTTTGCCGTAAAGAAGAAAAAAAAATATTGCGGCTTATAGATAGATTGTATGAAGTTACCAACTACTTTCTCACTGCTTGCATTGAATTTACCGACAGGGTCCTCAGTCCTTGGTGTAAGGTCAATGAAACTAATCAAGGCACATTCATCCCGAAAATTAAGGATTATAGCAAAACCAGCGGGAGATGACGCCGGGACCCCATTCTGGACTGACTCCAATGCCTTTAATTAATATTTCATGTTTTCCAAAAGCCTGCGGCTACACTTCATTCGCTCATTCGGTCTCCTAATTATGGACCTCTAGACAAAGTGCAAATTCAAGCATTATGATACATGTTTTCGCATCAAAATTTAACGCAGAACATGATTCGTGTGAGGTCCTGTATTGAAAGTAACCCCAAACGGAGATACTAACGTTTTTCGATGCATAAATTCAAACTTTTCGCTCATAAAAATTTGAAAAAAATAAGTAATTCCTGGCAATTTTGTAATTTTTGAGAATGTTTGGTTGTTTTCATAAGTTATATCTTTTCCTCGTAATATTCCATCGTTAAATTTATGGTTCAGTTTGAAATTTTGTCTATAGATGGCTGTAGGTTCCACATCTAGAATATAAGCCAAATCAACAGGAGAAGAAGAAGAATTTATTGTTCCTGTGGAGGGAGTCGAGACAGGAAAAAAAATAGTAATAAATAAAAAATAAATCGATCTTTAAAAATCGAGTGTTACGCCTGAATTGATTTGACTTCAATCGATTTTAGACCGAAATCGATTTTCCGGAAAAGTGGATTTCTCATCCTACCCCTCCAACCATAGTCGAGTGTTTCTCTCAGCCACCCTGGTGTTTGCATCCCCCTGCAATCGCAGTCGGAGAGCACAGTGCCGCCGTGTTAACACAAGTCGTGTTGATCAGCGTCGGGACGGAAGACTCGCGTGCTCCAGATCGAGGTGCGCACGCGTCATAACTCATATTCGCCTCCCTCCGTGGCTCCGGAGCCGATGAATAATTGAGTGGATCGCGCATCCAGTCCAACTCCAGTGCCCACTGCACACATTAGATAATGAGTAATTAATGATTAACGCATCTCGCTCGCTGCCCTCAGCGGACGGAACCCGCTGCGCCGAGGAACNATCGCCCCTCGTCCGTTCCTCCGTGTGTAACGAGAAAATTCACGTCAATAATGTAGGGACACATCACATGCAAACGAGCTGGGGTGGAGGATCTGCAGCCTTGATTTCAATCCATAAATGACGTAGTGCAGTTAAGAGGGAAGAGGGTCCAGGACTGCCCGATGAAACCATAGAGTACAATACTGCCGTTCTAAGGAAGAACGCCGTATGAGCCTTCAGACGTTGCCAAGTTTCCTCCAATGAAAACCAAAAATACTGAGAAGATTGTGAATATTATTTTCTCAAATTTTCAGACAATTTTGTGCACAATTTAATCTAAAATGTCTGAAAATTTCAAGGAAAAACATGCATAAACTTAGTAAAAAATACAGGTTTTATCAAGGGAAATTTGACTCCCGAATGTTCATACGGCGTTCTTCCTCAGCACGGCAGAATAGAGTCGCAATGTGTGAAGTCAATCCACGAACAAGCCATTCCGAGCCCCTTGTTCGCCGGAAAGTAGGGACCGTTCGGCATTTTTTGACACGGCGGCTTATGGGAGAATCGCGGGCTGCGAGTGGTTTTCAGGATTTATTCATTTAAATCAATCATTGTTTCCGCGAATTTTGGCGAATCGTGTTCACCGAAGTCATGAAAAATACAAAAATGTACAACACTCCAGGTTTTTATGAAATTAATTTTATACCTGTATTTTCTGAGCGAAGACCGCGAAGCTGGTACCCTTGCTGGTTGCTTGCTACCCTTGTTTGCTGGTACCCTACAGCTTGCTCTTCTTCCTCAGGAGAGGCCCCCAAATCTTCTTTTTGAAGAGTGAGGGCGGGGGGGGGCGTTTCCTAGGAAATTGTGAAACAGTTTGCCAGGGCGCGAGAGCTAGAGAGGGAAATAGATATATATCGCAAGAAGCAAGGATTGGTACGTCTCGAGACACAACATTGATAAAAAAATGAAAATTTGAGCGGCTGTCAAAAATTCTCTTCTTATTCTACCCTCTGACTAGGGCCGTGACCCTGTTTGTCTAGCCTCTAAATTAGTACATAAATATGACATATAAAAATGATAGCGATGAGAGGGGATTAATTCTCCGGAGATGAAAGGCAGCTATTTGCCCATCTCTCGGGCGGTCGTCCGGGTTGCCTTTGGCTAAGAGGTCGTCCTACCATACAAAAAATCTTGGCAAAAATTCTGTGTGTGATTATCAATAACATGTCATTCTTTATTTTCCTATGCGACAAAAATGCTCGTATCCTTCATTTTTTTGGGCTAGCATAGCCGCTCCACCAGGAAGAAAGCCATACAGAGTATTTGAACTCATCAATGGTACTTATTCCACTATCGCCGAGTAATTCATATACTTTTCCCCGCCGCAGATATCCTCTATATCGACGGATTCTAGCAATCAACTTTCCCATTCCTCTAGAATCCACGGAGCAAATATGAGGTTCTCAATCTCACTCAGTAAGTTGTTGCGCGGTGAATCCGTTGATGCATGCAGAAAATTTCAAAATGCACACACGCGAAGGAAGAGCTCACTACACAGCTCCTTTCCATAGGGAACCATATCAACGGTGTAACTCCCAAATCACGTATCTCGGTTTGCGACGTTGCAGACTTCTTTTTATATTTATTTTTTTAAATAGGAAACTGCTCAACGTCATTTTTATGAAACTTACGTGATTTTTCTTCTCTTAGCGAGAGATATCTTCAATTAAGGGTTAATATTGATTTGTTCTCCTTTTGAAAAATAAAATAGAGGCGGAGATTTTGAAACACCGCAAACGAGATACGTAGTTTGGGAATTTCATTGTCGATACGGTTTACGTTGTGATGAAGGGAGGTTTAAGGACATTTTTAACATAGCATTATGAAAAGGATAATTCGACTTATTCCTGTCAAACGGAACTACGTGCATTATGACGTCAGCCCTGTTATGCATATATTCTTATGGGTCTCAGGGCTCGTGTCTAATCGTCGTCCCGTTTGGCAGAAATACGTCCAATTCTTGCAAACCTCGAGTAAAATTCTAGAGTGTAACTTTGGAAATGGTTACTTAAAACGGAATACTATGATTTACGACGGACAAAAAGTACAAAATACAAAAAAAATTATACTGCTAATTTTGTCAATTTTAAGGTATAGGATCGCACCAACTAAAAAACTCGTCAAAATCGTGGACATTTTTCGATCCATATTTTGTCCTTTTTGCAATGACAAATCATTCTGATCCCATACTAGGATCCATTTCCAAAGTTACACCCCTGAAGTTTACTCAAAAAGATCCCACTGCAAAATATACCATCACTGGAAAAAAAAGAAAAAAAAAAACATCGAATCTAGAGTCCAGACTCTTGAAAACATTGACAAGAAAAAATACTCTTGATTCAATCAGGTTTTTGCTTAAATCAAAAGGAAATCCGCTCAAATTAAGAGGCTTGGTTCTTGATTTAAGCAAAAATCCGATTGAATCAAGAGTATTTTTCTTGTCAATGTTTTTAAGAGTCTGGACTCTAGATCCACTGTGTTTTTTCCCCCAGTGATAAATCGAAAAAAAATAGCTGATTTTGCAAATTTTACGGTAGTTACACGCCTACGCCTTTTTTAAAATCGGCCGGAATCAAGGCCTTCTTGTAGACCTTCCTTTACCTTACTTTAAACCATAGGTACGGGACTTAATTAGAAAAAGGCTGGTTGAAGAACGACTATCAACTTGGTCCCGCGCTCTGGGTGGTTAATATTCATACATTCTCTGTTACTGAAATAACTAATTTTTTTCCTACATGGCAACCGCAGTGTACCCGGCAGCAGGTTGCATTTCTTACTTAGACTGCGTTGCTCTAATTATATCATTATGCGCCATCAAAGCGTTCATGCATACAAACCGGCTCGGCATTTTCGCATTCTTCGGGCCACGCTTCTTAATAACGCGTTAACCGCTTACGTTCGTGAAACGTAAGAGTTTACGTCGCGTCGTCGCCGCGTCATGTCAGCACCTATTCCGTCGTAAGTAAAATCTCCAGCCAGAGGGGTGTAAGTTCAGTTTAGGATACGGAATCAGTCACCGCCATTTTACATTTCCTGATTTTTTTCTCGTGATGTTTTAACAAGAAAATTGACCTCCTAAATGCCTTCGAACTTCTTCTGAATTTACCCAGGATTCTGAAGCATGTCCTTACTCATTTTTAAGTTTCTGTGTAGCTTCGTCTTCTTTTTCCAAAATAAAATATCAAATAAAATTAGGCAACGTCTGATTCAGGTAAGCTGATTCCGGTTAAAACAGAGGCGGATCCAGAAATTTGGCAACACCGGATTTCCTCCATTTAAACCTATGTTAAACAATCACTGCCAAAATTCTGAAACTCTTCACCTCTCTTAATTTAAAAATCTAAATCGTATATACCCCCATCCTCAAAATTCTCTGTAAAGACGTTAATAGCCTGTGACGCTGAAGGTTTTAAAATATAATAAGTAACTAACTAACAATTCTTGCCGGAGCACCTGGTCCCTCTAAGAATCGATAGATTTCCATAGGTTTAAATGGAAAAAAGCAACGTTGCCAAGTTGCTGGATCCGCCAATGGGTTAAAATCTTCCAAAGTCCTTTGGTGACGACTGTTAAAAAAAACAAACAAAAAAAACTTAACTTTAAAAATCTCGTAAATTTTAAAAAGGCAATTTTTACTAATCTATAAAACATATCATTTAAAATATTCATAACTTCCCCCAAAAAATACAATTATCTAAATAAATTTGAAAAAATCGACGATGCAGCGAGTGAAAAATGTTGATTTTCAGTTTCCGATGATAATGTTTCGCGCGAATGTATCTCAGCGCTCCAAATGTACTGTAAGTTGTTGCTGCCTATATTTTTTCATCTTGATTTGACTCATCTCATAAGTACTGAACTTTGGTATTTATTTCTTTGTTTCAGCAATCGTGACAATATACCACGTCCAGAAAGAAATATTCCGTCCAAGACTAGAAAAACTGGTGTATTACGAGGTTAGTAAACAAAAACCAGTCCATAAAAACTTCTCATGAAGGAACGAGGGGGCAGGAGAGGCGGTTTATACGAAGTAATCATATTATTTTGATGTCAGGTTAAATACGTAAGAAACTTCTTTTCAGTGGCAAGGAAAACTCTTGGATACTTTTCTCCCAACTTTCAGAGAAGTTTCAGTCGCGATTTGATTTTTAAAGTTTTAAAAATTTCAAGGAAAAATATTCAGGACTTCCTTCAAAAATGAATATTTGATCAGAGGAAATTTGGCAACTCATAAAGGCTCATACGACGTTTTTCCTCAACACGGCAGTGTAGATAAGAAGAAGAGTATCGTTGTCTTTTAGAATATTGACGATCAGGGCCCATGCCGAATAAGTTTACGCATTTTTAGACTGTGACAGACAATCCGCCATTTTGATTCTTGCATTCACTCTCAATGCTAAACTCCCAAGTAGCATTTTTCAACGGAAAAATTGCGATTTGTTGCGATTTTGTCGGCGATAAAATCGTTAAGATCATTAACATCTGAGCGATTATCCTCGATCTTGTTGCAATAAAATCGCGATGTTACCGCCCGGCATTTATCGCAATATTATCACAACGAAAATCGCGATATAATGCGATTTAGTCTCGATTTTATCGACGAAAATTGATAGCGATTTTATTGAACGAAAAATTGCGATGCATAGCGATTTAATCGCCATAAATCGCAATTTTTCATTCGATAATATTGCGATAAATTGCCACCGATAAAATCGCTATTTATCGCGATCTCTGCTACTTGGGCTGACGTCACCTGATCTTCTTCGCAGTCTAGTAGTGCGTGAACTTATTCAGCGTGGATTCAGCAAGTATCAAAGGATTCAAAGAAGGCTCGTGATTTTAATTTTTTCCAAAAATGTGATAGCCTTAAGTAAGTTGCCGTGCTCTTTTCTCCTAAAATTTATTGTTTTTTCAGGGCACCGAGTCACCGGAGGAAAGCGTAACCTGCCGATTTCCAATTTTACATCCGTTCGAGAAGTCCATCCTTCACTTAATAAGTGTGGCCCCACCCGTAAGGTCAGTTCGTAGAATTACCTGTAGCCAATATGACATGAGCCCTGTCGTGCATATCTTCTCATAGATCTCATAGGGTTCATGTCAGAATGGATATACTTGCTTTTGATTTGAATACGTCCATATTACCTCATGAACAAGAGTAAAACATATCGAAGGCTAAGTGCGAAACTGCTTATCGTTTTCGACGTCGCAGACTTCCTGTCATACAGCGGCGGATCCAGCAATTTGGTAACATTGGATTCCCTCCATTTAAACCTATGTTAAATAATCGATTCCTGTCAGAGCATCTGGCCCCTCCAAGAATCGATACATTTCCATAGGTTTAAATGGAGAAAAACGGTGTTGCCAGTTCGCTGAGTCCGCCAATGCTGTCATACTTCATTAAAACTTGTCAACTTAATTTCTTGAAAACGTCCTTGATTTTTCTTCTTGAGCAGCAGATCTCTTGTAAAAATCTCAAGCTATAAAGTTGTCTTATTTCTCCTCGAAAAAATAAAATATAAGCAGGCATTTTGAAACCCCGCAATGGAGGTACGCGACTTCGCACTGTAGCCATTGATATCAGTCAATTCCAAATGGAGAATTTACACACAAAAATTTTATTTCTTCATCTGAGAGTACTAAATGAGCTGAGTTCGCGGCATTTTTCATACTTTTTGTCTGAAATGGGAAATTGTAGAAAAAATAATTCAAAGTGAGAAAATGTGCCGCCGCGTTAAGTCACCTGGCGGCATTGTATTTTAACAAGCACATGTATTTTAACAGATTCGGTTACTTTGTCTTATTTCCTCCAATAATAATAATTAATGGGCTTGGAAAACAAGGCGCATAAGTGCAGTTTCTGCTATTTCAAGAAATATTAGTTTGAAGTTTCAAAGGAGGGGTTGCGATTTGGGCCGAAATCGGCCCCTCCACGGAATTGGATAATTTTTGGATATTTGGCAGTTGACGGTGCATATATGATGGAAATAATCGAGTTTTGCCGATACTCACGTTTTTTGGCTGCGAAACAGGGGCCTAAACATGGCTCCGTGGCCGAAAATAACTGAAATTATTCGCGTTTTTCGCGGTTCTACCTCAGATTTTGACCTGGGCCCAAAGGCGACGGATGATGAGCTTCGAATATGGTGTCTGGGACACCTAGACACGTAACATACTTGAATATGATCAACCGTCGCCTTTGGGCCCAACCTCAAAATCGAACTTTTCCAACTTTTTAGTCCGAAATAGTTGAAAAGTACTGTTTGTCCAACGTTCTATTCAGGTTCTGGACTGAACCCAGAACTTGCCTTCGAATACAGAGAATGGATTCATATCTTCTTGCTATATTGTCTGTCACAAGTCACTTGAATGACTGCGAAAAGTGAGTTTTGTACTATTTCATGTATAGGTTAACTTGTGAACTCCAGATTCCTTGATCGCTTCCTTGAGCTCTCTAGTGCTTGGTAATAATCCATACAGGATGTGCAAACATTTCAAAATCATGAGTTGAATAACGCTGACTCCGCCAGATTAAATATTAGAACCTAACGCAAAGCGGAGCGGCGACGCACTGGCGCCTACAAACCTAACAGGGATACTTCACGCATTGCGCAACGCGTGAAGTATCTCTGTTAGGTTTGTAGGCGCTAGTGCGCGTTTCGCGCTGGCTGCCCGCCTGCCGCACCACAGCGTGCCACGGCGCTTGAGGCAACTATTTCACACCAGAGATATTGCACAGTATCATACGAAACTGAAGGCGCTCTAATATATTAGGAATGGCAGGCATCCATCAAAAGTACGGAGCTTTCCTCGCAAAATAAATCAAGATGCTACGGCCCAAAAAGAGAACAGTGGTCCAAAAACTCACTAAGTCCTAGCATCCGTAATTAGTGACATTTAGCATACACTTTATCGCCTGGCCGTGAGTTGCTTAATCGCCATCGGCTATAAAAGGCCAGAAGAAATTGTGTAGCCGGCTATAGAAGCTATTGGAAATCTTATAGACGGCCATAGGTCTGTGGTATTTTGGAACACAGATTCTACTGCCAATTTTTACCAGGGTTTAGAGACTAACAATATCCTCGTTCTCAGTTCTCTCAGCAGTTTCATTTTAAACATAAAATTTACCAAGTTATAGACAGCTGCAAATTCTGCATTATTGGGACGTACTTATGCTATAAAAGGAACCAGTGACGTGTGGGAAAGATGGGATGTGCTCGTGAAGCTGCGTAAGAAACAATGTGAAAGTGGGCGTAATCCCTCTCGAGAAAATGGGAAAAAAGGGATTTTATTTAAAATTCATAGGAGCTAAGCACCAAAATATGCTAGGTCATAAACCGTAGGCATGTAACAAGAGCGTTGTGGACAGGGCCCATGAGTTGAAGACTCAGCTCCGCGGAATGTCGTCTCTGTCGTCACCGCTGACGTCACTGGCGCTTTATAATTCCCACTCATTCTTACGGCCCTCACCTAACGAGCATACTCCGTCTTCCCCACCCATCTCTGGTTCCTTTCAGCATAAATACGTCCATTGGGACCTTGATTCCTCGGAAAATTCTCCACACTGGGAAAAAAAACACATTGGATCTAGAGTCTAGACTGCTCTTGAAAACATTGACAAGAAAAAATACTCTTGATTCAATCGGATTTTTGCTTGAATCAACACGAAATCCGCTTAAATTAAGAGGCTTGGTTCTTGATTTAAGCCAGATTCTGATTGAATCAAGAGTACTTTTTCTTGTCTATGTTTTTAAGAGTCTGGACTCTAGATCCAATGTTTTTTTTTTCAGTGCATCCATGTCTGTGTGCGCCACAAATTGTAACGCATATACAGACATTAGTCATAGTCATAGACACAGTATTCCAATAATTCCTCCTTCCCTTGAATTCAGGTGCCCGCAGCGGAACTTGGTCCTAACGCAGATCGACAGGGACGGTCGACTAGGTTTCAACCGGACGGCCCTGCAGCTTCTGGGCTACGATGAGGATGCATCGAGTTTGGACTGTTACTATCAGGAGATCAGCCGGGCTCCCGAGGATGACTTCAATGTCATCTACGGCGAGAAGGTGCCCCTCACAGACACCCACATCCCCACCGAGGACTTCATCTATGTCGAGTGCGATCACAGACTCACCAGGATACCCGTCTACAGGAATTTCCATGCCTACGCCAGGAGACACCCCAGTGTGCGCCGCTTCAAGGTAAGCGGTGAAGTGTGAAAACTCTCGCGGAATAATCCTAGAGAAGAATCTAGGTCTTTATACTTCAAAAAGAAATTATACGTATTGATGGTCAAAGTACAAAAACACGTATATCCGTTAAAATTTCTGCTCCTAGTTTATTTTTTTTGAGGAGAAGAAAGCCGACTTCGTGGCTTGAAAACACGGAATATTCTGCTAATAGGGTGAAAAACAAGTAAATTGTCAAGAATTACGTTGACTAGTGTTTGTCGGCCTTTGTCTACCTCTGTCGGCCTCCTATGGTGTAGTGGTTGTGGCGCTAGCTCTATGATCGGGAGGTCCCGGGTTCGATTCCCGGCCAGGCGACCCGAGTTTGATGGTCTCAAATGGTGGTTGCCGGGGACTGGTTGTAGGGACGGAGGGGGGACGGGCAAAGCGCAAGGATTAGCCCTTGTGGGCTATTTGAAGTAGGAAAAAAAAAACAAGTTTTTCATAGAAACATAAAGTGTCTTTGCACGTAAAATATAACTGATCATTCTATAAGGAAAAAGCTAATAATGCAACTAAAGTCCGCCTTCCTAAGCGCGCAACTCTTTATTTGATAATTGATAGAGAGTGAATCGCATCTCCGTTTGAAGTATCGCCGTGTATGGTAAGTCACGGAATTTGCAATTGAAGGCGTTTTTAATGCGACGTGAGTTCATAAAACATGCTGAATAAGCCTCAGAGCTCGCAGTTGTTAGTGTAGATCTCGCTGTTTGAGAATAATTTTAGTACGCTATTTAAATCGGTAAAGGAGGGGTGGCGATTTGGGCCATTTCCGGCCCCACCTAATCTGGGACTTTTTTTGCTGTGATTCGTTACGTATAAGTGTCAAGAGAAAGCATGCCAAGTTTCAGGCCGATCGGCCCAATATTCGGGGGGCAGGGGCCCCCCGAATTTTTAAGCGCAAAATCGGTTTTAATTTTGTAGCGCCGTCAATTTCGCTCGTATACAGATGAAAATTGGGTGTCAGGGGTAAAATTTTGCGTCCTTTCCATTTCCGCCGTCAAAATTGACACTGGGGCAAAATTAAGGGGGATTTTGGGGGGTTTTTCGCGTTTTTTCGCGTTTTTTACCAATTTTCTGCGGTTTTCATGCTTTAAGTCAGAGATTTTGAGCCAAACGACCACAGATTTGATTTCTACGCAAAAAATTACATAGAAACACGATGACCAACTAACACTCAACAGCGGATTTCTCTAGGAAAAACTGACCCATAAGTATGGGTTCACTCAGAAATTTTGAGAATAGCCATGTTTCGGGTACAGCCCAAGCTTGTAGCACTACCATATTCACATATGATACGTTCTAGGTCGACCCTGTTGATATTATCGGGAACTTGAAATGCTACCCGCTTGGGCGGAGGGTCGAATTCTCCTCAGAAACGAATAAAAAAGGCGATAAAATTACGTTTCACGTGAATTGTTGCGAGCGGAATGTTATTATATCGGCAACTTTCACCTCCAACTTATGTAATTTTTTGCGTGCTTTCCATTTCTGCCATGAAAATTGGCATCAAAGCAATTTTAAACGGGTTTTTTGGGGTTTTTTATAATTTTTTAATCATTTTTTACCACTTTTTTCCGGTCTTTTGCGGTTTTCGTGTTTGAAACCTCATGTGGCATATCAGTTCTGTGGTTTCTTGGTTTTTACCGACATCAAGAAAAAGAGCC